GCTTAATTAGACCCAAAATTTATTGGAGATGCTTTTAGCCGTTATCATGTTGCCACTCTCCATTTAGATAAGCCTAACTCTCTTCATCCCCGTTAGGAGATGACGAGATCGCCCTTGAATATATTTATTTATAGTTATTTGGAAGTTAATATTTGTGTATAAAGAAGATTTCCTATTTCATATATGTAAAGAACTTGCTAGGGCGTTTGTCTCAAAGAAGACGACGTTCTTGACTAATGTGGATTGTGAGCATGGATTATTGATGAGTTCGTATAAATTCACCTATCAGATCTTCATGTGGTTATTTATCAACTACAAATCGATATAGCCACGAAGATGATGACTCCAATGGATATATACATATCCAACGGAGGTGATGACATGATGATGTTATCTTAAATTATGAGCATGAACCAATTGACAAGTTCGTTCAGTTTGCATGGTGATGTGAGACGATGGTGATACACAACTACTACAATATTCTCCACAGAATCGATGACCTTATGGCAAGGTAAAAACGCCATTGATGACCCTGCAGTGGGTATGAAGACTTTGAAGATGACTTCGTGATTGTCCAATCTCATACGTGGTACATGATTGCGGGAGGGTGTTAGGAGATCTTGGATCACACAATAGAGGCTCTACCTTGCTTCTAGAGTGTTCCAAGAAGTCGCACCTACCTCCCCAAGATATGTAGATACAAAGCTTAAAACATTTCCTTATTTGGGCGATTTTATCATCAAAGCTCCAAGCCACCAACAGCCATATATATATATAGCAGTTCCGCGAAACAGGCCCTCTTTTACTTGGAGAAGTATTCTCCATAGTCGTGAGCTGTTAGCTAAAGGACTGCTGAAAATAGTTGGAAATGGAAGGTCAATAAGTATTAGATGTTAATCCTAGAACCCCCTTGATAAAAAATATCGTTAGTGATCTAAATTTGAGTGTTAGTGAGTTGGCTGGTCAAGGCCTTCCTCTAAAGTCTAGGTATCGGATTTAACTTTCGAATTGATTAAGATGTTTGAATGGAAACAGAGGTGCTACTTTCATTGCGCAAAGTATTAATTACAAGATAAAAAAGAAGACAATAGGAGAATCAGAGTTGTTTAGCAATAAGAGTCTTTACCTCTGTATGAGTTAGTGTAATATTAATACATAAGAATTTTAAAAGAAGAGAATGTTTGATTGGCCCTAAATGGTACCAAAGTATTTAAGGAATTTAGAGGAATTAGGAAAAACAAAAATCCTCTGTTACCATTTGTGATTATGAGGATTTGGGAGGATTGGGAAAAAGTGGGAAAGTGGGAGAAATTAAAATAAAATGAGTTGTTTTTGTTTGTGATACACATGTTTCAAAGCAACATTATTTCCTATTTCTTATAAATGAAATAAAAAATATTAAAGAATAATATATCTTTAGTCTATCATGTTTATTTTTTATTTTTAGTAATAATTTAAACGTTTTAATTGATTTGAATGGTAGATAAATACTTGCAAATTTTGTTAAACAAAAAAAAAACGAAATTAATAAGAAAATAAATTAGGTTTATGAAATAATTCAATAAAAAATTATTATTTTTGTAAAATTAATACATTTATAAACATAAAAATTTAATTTCGACAAACACACTTTTAATTAATATTTTCATAAGCTTACTAATTAATTTACTTTCAAAAATTCCACTATAATCCGCAAGATTCAGCTGTTACCATTTGAATTCAAAGTTATTCCGCTAGATTCCGCAAAAGATCACTATAAATTCTTTTAGAATCCACAATTCCACCAGATTTCTCTGTTACCATTTACATCCATGGTGGAGTGGAGACATATGGATTCCGGATGGAGGATGTTTGCAAATATTTAGAGAAACA